CATTATTGGAAGGAGGCCAGAATTAGAGGCAGGCCTCTATTTCTATTTGATCAATACAGACTACCAGTGGAATGAATAAAAATGAGATTTTGTGTCTCTTTGAACCTATAAAATACTATGTTCATTTATTGAAAAAGTACAGTTATCATAACGGTATACAGAACATTATTCAGACATCTTCCAGCAGCTGCAATTTTTCTGCACGGCAATACAAAAAAAAAAAGACACAGAATGGAATCTTGGCCAAACTGACTTGCGAAACAAAGTTTTTAAAAAAAATTAATGGAAACTGTTCTGCCATCACAGCAAAATTTTATTTGAGGCAGGCTAAGTGGAAGTAGGCTACCAGCATCATATACTTCAAGAAAAATTCAGAACAACGAAGGCCAACGGAATTCTGTCATTTTAAGGTACCTGGTTACCAGACCTACCAGTAATCACATGTCTCTTTCAGATCAGAATGATTAAGTAAGGCCACTATGATGTCTTTGTAAGGATGGGACTTCCCATGCTAATGGCTTGGATTCGTTAGCAAACATCGCCCACCTGTGGTACTTGTATGTTACTATCACAAATTGTTGAGGACTGCCCAGGAACATCCTTGGTTCTAATTATAGCCCCGGCCTGTATAAGAGTCCGACCATTATTTACCTCCGCCGACAGCGAGACTGGCCATTGTTAGAGACCTAGTCGCTAATGGAATACAGGCCAATATTAGAGGATTTACGGTATATACTGGAGGAGAGAGCCCCATCTAGTGACCCCCCCAAAAAAAGAAAACAAACAAAAATACACATATTTGACTCTAATATCAGTTAACTGACTCTTCAGAGATGATCACTACTTTTTGTTTTCCATTGGTCACGGGACCTCAGCTCCCAGCAGGTGCCTGCCTCTTTGTTGTCTCTCCCCCAAAACAAATCCCATGATGCTTTGTGAGGAGAGCTCTTCAAAAGCATTCTGAGACATATCTGCTCATCTAGTGACCGTGGTTGCACACTTTCAGGTGCATTTTAGGAAATTTTGAGTCCACTATTTTTTCCACTACTAGACATTCGGACATTCATATAAAAAAGTGGATGCTCGGACACAGCCATGCACTGATTTTTTTTTTTTCTTTTTTTACAGCTTATGTGGATGCAGAAGATGTTACTAATAATGCTGTACTCTAACATTTATGTTAAAAAAATATTATTATTATTATTATTATACATGCTACATTATCAGACGCATAGAAAAGCAATGCTGAAGAAATATTTACTTAAATATTATATATTAGTATGACAATAAAACACAAAGCAGA